TCCTCACAATCTTGATATCATTTAGTGAGCTTCAAAATCCGTACTGAAAATTCTATATTAAGGCGAGCAGGATGTACGGTTTTGGTATGAGATATGTATAAATATTATCACTTTGTAATCACAAATTATTAAACAGCTGCACAGTACTTGAAAATATTTTTACTTTATAGGAAAAAGAAAGAAAGTCACGCTGCGTGTGATCCACGAAACCAAGACGTATGTTAAATCAAATTGTGTATTACAAAAAGTTCTTCATTTTGGTGATATACTTGTAAATTTCATAAAAATAAATATTTGGAGAGTTCCTTGATTTACATGATATAATCACTATGCCTCATCAAAAAAAACTTTAACGCCCCGTAAACAATCTGACAAAATTTTCGTATTGTTTTTGATCATAATTTGAAATTGTAAATATTTCTTAATATAATATCCGCCCCATGAAAAAAAAAATGTAATTAATTCTCAGATCGTCCATTTCATTTAACTTGCAAAGGAAGAAATTACCAATTTCTTTTAATGGAAAAGGAGCAAGTTGCTTATCTTTAAGGGATAATGACCGACATAATAAATAAACTACTATACTACAATTAATTAGTTTAAAACCTTATATTTTGTGAAAAATCCTTGACTTGATTAATTCCTCAAAAAAGTTATTTGAAAATTCATATGTCGATTATCTGTCAATTGATATATAAGGTTGTAAAAAAAATAAACATTTTTTTTTTGCTCTGAATATAACAATTATGGAAGAGATAAATCAATCGTCACAAAATGTTTCCCAAAATAAAGCAGCAACTGTTCTGGAAATATCAAACACAAGAGTCATTAATAATGAGAAAAATCAAATTCCAAGTCCGTGGAAATTATTAACGTCGCTTAATAAACAACAACAAATTACTTTTGTTGCAGCATTTTTAGGATGGACATTAGATGCTTTTGATTTCTTTACATTGGTATTCTCCGTACCTTATATTGCAGAGGAATTTCATTTGGAACCATCTGACATTACCGCAAGGTGATAAATTTTATGCTTTTTTATTTTATTTGATATTAAACCAATCAGGAAATGTTCTAATTAAATAATCATTTATCCTCGGTATTAGTATTACGATTACATTATTTTTCCGTCCATTAGGAGCAGCAATATTCGGTTTATTAGCAGATCGTTACGGAAGGAGAATTCCGTTAATGGCAGATATCATTCTTTATAGCGTTATGGAATTGGCTTCAGGGTTTGCGCCAAATTTGTTAGTCTTAAATATCATAAGAGCAATTTTTGGAATTGCTATGGGAGGTGAATGGGGATTAGGCACAGCATTAGCCATGGAAATTTTACCGCCCGAAAGTCGTGGATTATTTTCGGGTATTTTGCAACAAGGTTATGCTACAGGATTTCTTTTGGCTTCACTTTTGAATTATGCTGTAATAGACAGAATTGGATGGAGGGCAATGTTTTGGATAGGTTCATTTCCTGCCATATTGGTCATCTTCATTCGTTTCTTTGTAAAAGAGTCGCCAGTTTGGGAAGCTCATCGTAAAGTTGAAAAATCAATCGGTAAAACCTTTCTGAATAGTACTAAATTAGCATTAAAACTTCATTGGAAAAGGTTCATCTATTGCGTTAAGGGTGAGATCTATGTAAGGGATTATCCATTCTTGGAATATCGATTTCATTACCTTTATTCCATTTCAGTCGAACATAATCTATTTGCTTTAAAATTAAAAAAATTAATATCAATATCAATAATCTGTTCATAAATTTAAGGCTTACATACCATAATTATAGAATTACTTTTTAAATTAATTGAAAGTTGTGACGAATTATCTAAATTAAATTGAAGTGTATATTCAATCCAGCCCAATCCAATAAGTGCAGATAACCGGTTATATTTTAATGATTACTATAAAACTATAAATAAATTTATATTTCAATTTAAAAAAGTTAAGTATTTAAGATTACACATATATAATATATATAACTACAAGAGAAAACGTTTTAACAAAAAACTCCACAGAACAATCTTTATTCAATAACTATTTAATTTTTAGTTTCAAACAATAATAATAATTTTCAAGGGTAAAAACACCAAATTTGGGCAAAACAATAGGAATTACTTCATCTTCAAAAGATAACACTTGGCCAGACAAACTTAGATTAATGGAAATATTAGTTGTATTAAAATAGAATAAATTATAAATATATGCATAAAAGCTTACCTGTTTGAATCCATTTCTTGAAACCGATGAAATTCTCTATTCAAATTTACAAGATTAGAAAGATAATAGATTCTTTTTCCTACAATTCGGAAAATTAAAATGATTGATTAATAATTCCTAATTCAATAAAAGAATCGTTACCAATTATCAAAAAATAGAGTAATAAAAATGACAATAATTTTGTATCTAAATAATTTTGCGTTAAATATTTATATAAAATGTTTTCACTATTGAATATATTATCACCAAAATATTTTGACAAGAATGTTGTCAAATTATCATCATAATCGAATAATAATACGCATTTTTCAACTTCAATTTTAGTTTTTTCATTATTTCCTAATACATAATATATTAGTCCTTTAAAAAAAATATGCAAGACTATATGAAGGATCTAATTGCATCAATTTATTAAGATCTAATAGCGCTTCATCATATTCTTGAAGTCCATAATGAGTGATAACCTTTTTAATTAAGATATGGGTATTCTCAGGATCAATATTATATGCTTTTGCAAATTGCGATATGGAATCATCATATCTTCCTAAATAATTAAGAATTTCTCCATGATAACTTAGTATTAATGAATCATCTGGATTAATATCCAGTATTTTACCTAACATTTTTAACGCTTCTGAATATTTTTCTTGAATTTCATAAATATATGCACAATACTTCAAACATAGGTAATTTCTTGAATCCTTTTGTAATGCAACCTTATAGCTTTTTAAAGCATCATCATAATACTTTTTTTCTTTACTTTTCTTTGCTCTTCAGTCAGATAAAAAAAATTATCTCCTTCTGCTTTCAAAAAACAGCAATAACCTAAAATTATATTTGACTTAATTTTGATTTTTGAATTTTCTAATGCACGTATTGCCGTTTCATAGTAACCTTGTCTGAAATGTATTTCTCCACGTATTAAATATGCAATTGGTTTACTTTTTTTAGACCAATAGCCTCATCTGCGCTTGCTTATAGTGATTAAGGCATCTATAAGTATAAGCTAAAATACATATCATTGTATAACTATTAGGAAACTCTTCTAAATATACTTGACCTATTGATATAGCATTTTCATAATTTTTATTTGCTAATTCATTTATAACATTCTGATAAGCCGGGCGTCGTTTTTTTGGTTTTATTATATTTGATTTCAATTTAATCGATATACGATTCTTTTTTTTAATTAATATGTGATCAACGTCTGAATTATCGTCCTCGGAATCAACATGTTGTTTATTTGTTTGATTTAAGTTTGGATTATGTTCTGTATCATAATACGAATTTGACATCATTATCTTCAATCCTTTCCCGACATATAGGACACTTTTTTTGTCTTAATTTGTTATATGTATTGTATGATATTTTATGTTGACATTTTAAAAGATAAAATTGATCTTCTAGCGCAAGACTAATAGGACAAGTCATTTCATCTGTGATAATATCCAATATCTTACGGGAATTTAATGTTTGCTCTTTAAAATATGTATTTTGTCTAAACATTTTCCTTTTTCCTTTTCCAATATCATCATTTAACATAATTAAGTCTTGATGACATTTTTCTTTTACAAATGATAATAAACATTGAAATCTTTCTGAAGATCCATTATTTGAATTGATTTCATATAATTTTTGCGCGTACTGATTGAAATCAATTTCCGTCATTGAAAACGATACCCCGTTTATATTTTTCAAGTGTAACATCACCTCAATTGCTTTAAATTGAATGAAATTGCTTTGAGCTTTATTTAGTGATTCAATTGCCAAATAATAACAAAGTCCGGTTGAGTAGAACTATAAATGAGATTTTGCGCAAGATCCAATATTCCAAACCATAACATATTCGGTAATGCAAGTGGTTCATTTCCGGCAATGTCATTTAAAAAACCTCCAGTATTTTTTATAGTCTTGAAGAGCTTATTTGATACTTCATCGGAATGAATCAATGTCAATAATTAAATTGCGCAGATTTTTTATTCAATTTATACTGAATTTTTACTGCAACTTTTTATTTTATATTATGTTTCAAATAAATTAAATTAACAAATTTAAAAAATTAATAATTTAAAATACTTTTATTTATAAAGCTTTATTTTTGTAAAAAACTTTAGGGTCGTTTTGGGACATATCCGGAGTGTTCATATTGGGATGTGCATTATTAATGGATGTTGATCCTTGTTTAAGGAAGTAGATATTAATGTTAAAATTAATATAATCTCATTTTTTAAAATAAATAAATAAATCAATGTATAAAAAATACATTATTTACATAGCTGAATAATAGTGAATTTTTTTCATCAGTCAATTTTTAAAAATATATTAGGTAAATTCAGATACAGGTCATTAAATGATCAAATAATAGCTAATTATTTTTTATGGTAAATAAGGTTACCTGATTTACTAGATAGTAGTGAATTCTCTGAATTTATAGTTATCTGGTTATTGAATAAGAGAATAGTAGCAAATCCTGAATAAATAGGTCATTAGATAGCTAAGCTAGGTAAAAATGAATTTATAGTCAAGTTATTAGATTATCAGATAGTAAAGAATTATTTTTTTTTATGGTTATCTTATTAATAGACGATTGAATATTAAGAAAAATATTCAGAAAGTTAAAAACCACCTTTTTTTTAAAATTAATTGATAGAGTATGCTCAAGCGATAAATATTACAAATATTAAAGTAAAAAAAATAAATATTTACTTTTTCTTGTTGTTGTATAGCAGCTTCATTAAGTGCCAATTGTTGTTATGCTGTTACAACAAAAGTCGCAAGTTCGTAAAATCGTTAGAGGGATGATGGTATTGAAAGTTGAATTTGAAAGATTTTTATTTTTGGAGGATTTCTTATTAGCATGGCGAAGATTATTAGAAAAATAAAAATTTTAATGTAGTTCGGTAAAAGAGCATGCTCAAGTTTATAATTCTATTAATTTGTCATTGATTGTGATACTTGAGCACAATGACATAACCAGCCAATCTCATTGAGGGAGATGCTTGAGAACGCTCTAAATTTAAAAAAAAAAATCAAAAATCGCAGGGGGGTAAAAAAAGAATACAAAAAATAAATATAATCAATTAAATAAAATCTTAAATAAAAAGAATTCAATAAAATAAACAAAATAAAATTAAATCAATATTAAAATCGCGGTATAAAAAAAAAAAAGAAAAAATTCGCGGATATAAAAAAATATTTTAAATTTTTACAAAAAAAAAATTTGAAATCAACAGAAAAATAATAAAATAATAAATACAAAATTAAGAAAACCAAATATAAATAAATAAAAATAATTAAAAAATTAAAAAAAAAATAAAATAAAAAATAAAAAATAAATTTTGAACTTTAGCGAAATATAATTATGATAGATTTATGGATTTTCTCATAACCTATAACACAATGTTGTACTAGGAAATGATGGCGATAAAACTGTCGAAACAAAATTATTATAACTAACTCTACGAGTTTTTATTAAAAATTTTTCAACTTGAGCCAATCAGCTTGCTAATTTTAAAGGGAGGTCTTAACGTTTAACGGAAAATTTGCCCGTGCTTTAATTTTTTTTTTAAAAAAAAATGGTGAGCGTACCATCGAAATCATGTGTAATTTTGCAAGCTTAATTTCGAAGTGCATTTACGAGTATGAGAGTTTCGCAAAGAACTAATCATTAGATCATTCACAAGCCTTATTCAAATTTTCACTTTTGATTTTATCGGAATTTCCTTTTATTTGAGTTTTGCAACTTTACAATGTGATGCAAAACGTAAACGTTTTATAATAAAGAAATTTCAATAATCTTGCAATTGTGTGAAGTGAGGCATCATCTAAAATTAAATTTTATCACATGGTCTTTATTTTCTTTTTTAACTCCAAGTCTATTATACATCCCATCATTATTGCAAAAAAAAAAAGGAATCACCTTGCATTTCAACCATATGGCACCTAGTGATCGAAAGAAAGTAATTGTCATCTTTATCCAGTCAGTGTACGAAGAAAAAAAATCACCTTTGTCGCCCGGTGATTAAATTTTTTTCAAAAGAAGGTATTTAGTTGATTGAAAAATTAAAAAAATAATGTAATTATTTTCAGCAATCCAATCATTTCATTTGGCGTTAGAAATTCTTGACGATACGAAGGACCTATCTCATTTAACTAGCAATTCGACATTGAAGCAAGCAGTAAGATACTCTTCTCATACATTTGGGCATTCCCTTGCTCCATGTGCTCAAGGAACATAACTTCCAATGACACGTTTTGAAGTAAAATAAAATGCTGTTCGTGTTGGTATTGTTGGTAGGACCGCTGAAGTTTCTGTTGTTTTTCCGTCATTAATGAAAGAGCTTCTGTTATTGCTGCAACAGAAATTGCAGTGTTTGATTGCGCTGCTACAGTTTCTTTTATAGTCGCTAAACTTGATGAATATTGAGTATTTGTCGACAATAGCTTATTAAATTTTGACGTAAGGTCGGACTGATTTTTAATTCATTTAAAAGTAATTTATGTAATGAATTATATTCTTCCATAGAAATATTATTATTTGACATTTTGAAAAAAAGATTCCAATTATTATTATTTTTTATTTATTTGAAGTTGATATTAATACATCACAATGTAACATTGGGGTGTTCCATCAACTATGTAAATCAAAACATTGTTAAGTATCATATAAAAATTTAATATTAGAGATTTTTGTGAAGCATACATGTCAAACCTAATTATTGGCTAATATTATTACGATTTTTCCTAATAAAAAATTCTAAATCTTTAACTTCGGTATATGTTAGCATTCAGACATATAAAACTGTAAATGAATAATTTATAACCTAAAAAAATGTGATACCTTGATTTATTTAAAAACAACAAAGAAAAAATTTTTTATTTAGAGAGCTGTGTACAAAAAGATTTATTTATTATTTCTTGAAGCGTAAATAATATCTTTTTTTGGAAAAAACGAGCTGTTACATGAAATAGACTATAATTTAGAATGTTTTTGTAAATTTGAAGCGAAGATATTAAAAAGAACCTAAAGTTAATAAAGTCTAAAAATGTATAGATTTTAATGAGAAGATTATTATAAAGCAAATTTAACCTAACAGAATTACAAAAAAAAATCTAATAGTAAATATTTATATGATACTTAAAAATGTTTGATTTACATAGTTGATGGAACACCAATGTAACATGATATAATCCCTTAAAATGGAAATTAGACTCATTTTTTATCAGATAGGTTGAAAAACAAAAAATACTAAATATACCGATTCAGGTTTCACAAGAAGTCTCGTAGACAAAAAAAAAATATCTAGAAACGAATACACCAAATTTTTTTATTTATTGATTTATTTATTTATTTTAGCAAATGAGTATTCGAGTATTCTATTTTCAAATGAAACCCTAATATCTGAATGATATGTTAATTAGTTAATAACGCGTCATTTCAATGAACATGCTGAACATTAACTTTATTTGGGCATGTCACCGACGATCCAATGTGATAACCATTTCTGGTGAAAAATAAAAATTTTGACATTCTCGATACAGTTTCATTGGCAAACAGACGAATACTTAGAGAAATAATTATCAATTAGATTTAATATTTAATCGCAAAAAAAAAACTGATTTGAAGAACAATCTAGAGAAATCACTAAATAATTTGGAAATTATAATTAAGGAATTAGAGCAAAATAATGTAGGGTTACGCTCTATTTAGAAGAAAAGTTCAGAGTTCGAGGAGAAGAATCCAAAGACAAGCAAGCAATTATTAGTAATTTAGAAGAAAAGTTTAGAAAACAGTCCAGCTTGCCTAACTCCTTAAAATTTTCAGTCGTTTAATTACTAAAATTATCAATTTACCAACTTTACTTAAATCTATAACTGCTCTCCAAAGTGATCACACTCCAATAACCAGTGTTAGACCTGGAATCGTTTCAAACCAAGATAACAAAACTAATAAACTTAACAACACAATTATCTCAAAGGCCTTTCCTAAGAGAAATTAACGATAAACAAATAAAACAATTTATTATCACGATTCACTTGTGTAGTAGGTTATCACGATCAATCCTATGATGAAGACAAGAAGAAGGTTGAAAGTGTAAAATAGTAACTTTATTAAACTGTAGAGTTATAAGTCTAGTCCCAAGACTTATTCAGAAAACTATCTGATCGAACTCTGTTGACTCAAAGTCAACTTACAGGTCTATTTATATAAAATTGTTAACTAATACTATACTACGCCTTTCAATAAGTACATATAATGAAAATAATATAAGTAATGAAAAGTAGACTATATAATATTTATATTAAAAGGTAAACTATTCGATACATGTATTATAAAGTCGATCAAACGATACTGTTGAAGATCATCTAAGGCACAGTATAAATTGCGGCTAACACCAGCTAACCAACTTTTCCTAACTTCTTAACAGTTCTCTCTTTCGATGTGATAATATTTCAATAACCAGCTTACCAAATTTACCTAATTCCTTAACGGAACCTTATAGTTTTCAAACTCAAATAACTAGTTTACCAACTATGCCTAATTCCTTAAAAATAATATATTGCCATGAACACAAATTAATAGATTTCCAACTTTGCCTAACTCTTTAGAAAGTTTCTCATGCTATAAACATAATATGGTTTCTTTGGATCAAACAAAATACAGATTAACCTAAAATGGTGAAGTATTTAGAATTTATTAATTTATATTCACAAATTATAAATTATTTAACATTGATTCTTTATATTTTGAGATTTTATCAGTGATTTAAGAACGAATTTATAATAATAATTTTACTTGTAATGTTATACCAAATTAAGTTCTCAACCTTGGAGTTATATTTATTTTCTTGAATAAGTGCAACTATTCCAAATAACTTGAGTCACAATTACATTGAGGTCTTAAATATTTGAAAAGTATATCATAAATCATACTTAACGATAGTCTACTCATGTTTAACTGCAGATGAACATATTCGGCCAGAAAATATTATTTCATTTTTTAATATAATACTATTCTTAAACCAAAACGTAATTATTTTTATTAATTTTCTTTTTCTTTTTTTTCCCTTTTGTTATCTTTGTTACACGGATGACCAAAATGCATAACTAAATGACTCAATACAAATCTGGAATTGGTTTAAATGTAGTTGTCACAGCAAACCTCCAAAAATATATTCTAGGACGTCTTTTGCTTCTGTTGAATTGTTGTATTTTACATATGAAATTCTCGGTTCGCAAATAATTTTAGGGTATTTGCATCACGCCTTTTTTATGAAACGTCTTTAATACATGTTTGTAAAATAGTTAGTGTCACGTTGCATAATATTTATAAATTGATCTTACCCGAAATGAATTGGGCTAAATCAATAAAAATTTTTCTCACACTCCCTTTAATTTTTTACATTTGATTACTGTTAAACGTATCCAAATTTGAAAGTTCCTTTTTGATAGCAAAGATGCCGCCGGCAATCGGAACGAGTTTTAAACCACATCAACCTTACACTCATCGTCTACGTAAAATTCTTGATGAATATCCTGATGGTTCACAGGTTCTTCGTGAAATTCTCCAGAATTCTGATGATGCAAAGAGTACCGAGCAAATTTTCATCTTGGACCATAATACTTATTCATCAAATAGTTTATTTAAACCGGATTTGAAAAAATATCAAGGTCCTGCATTATTAGCAAAAAATAATGAAATTTTTAAAGATAGAGATTTTGAGTCTTTGTTGAATTGGCTGATAGCGAAAAAAGTAATCAATTTGATAAGATTGGAGGTAAATATCGCTTACTAATATCGTAGCAATAACACATTATAACGACTTTCTAACTTAATATATTGTATATGTACTGTAATTTAGTAATGGGTGTCGGATTCAATTCAATTTATCATATCACCGATACTCCTACTTTCATTACCGGTAATAATTACGTTATTCTTGATCCACATGAGTGGTATTATGATGGTGGTGAAAAATTCAATTTTGTCGAGAATAATTTGGTTCAAGAATATCCTGATCAATTTGCTCCTTTTAGAATCCAGTGTAATGAACCATTTAATGACACCCTATTTCGTTATCCCCTTCGTACCAATAACGATTCGAAAATTTCTGACGAAATTTATGAACCCAGCAAAATTTTAGAAATGTTTCATAGATTTTACGAAAATAATAGCATTAATAGCTTGCTGTTTCTAAAATTTATTGAGAGTATTACTTTTTACGAATTAAAAAAAGGTGCTACTGAACCCGAATTACTATATGCGATTCAATTGGAAAATGCCGATGAAATTCGAGAACAACGTTGTTTGATAACAAAAGAAATTGTACCAATGATGAATTCATTACAATTGGGTGAACTCGGAGTTAATAATCAATTACATACATCCTACATCGCATCATTCTGTCGTAAAAAAGGAGATTTCAAAGAGAATAACGCATGGTTAATTTTTAATTATCTTGATGACTTACTTGAAGCCGAAGCACATTTTCAAGAGAATTTTAAAAGAAATATAGGAGACTACAAGTTCATCCCTAACGTTGGTTTAGCCGTTCCCTTGAATGATTTACCAGCTACAGGAACGTTATTTTGCTTTTTACCACTTCCCATTTGTATGCCTTTTCCTGTTTCTGTTCATGGATATTTCGCGGTAAAATTAAATGAATTAATGATTTTGATATTTTTTATGATTTTTTTTAAGCTGATATTTTTAAAAATTTTCTAACAGGTTAGCACAAATCGACGTTCTTTATGGTCGGCTGCCGACGACGGTGATCTGGTAATCAATCTACTTTCATGATATTGTTTTTTTTTTAGATTGTAAACCAATAAAAAATATAATACAATTGAATATTACAGGCGACTAATGCATTAGCACGCCTGAAGGTTTCATGGAATCAATATTTATTTGAAAAAGTCTTACCCAAAGCCTGGGTAATATTTCTTCGTGAACTCCCGCTTAAAGTTTCCGATATTAGGTCCGATAATCTTTATAAATTCTGGCCAATAGTTAAAGGAGGTACATCAGGCGACATAAGTATTTTTTGCAAGGATCTGTTGCAGAATGTTGTAGAAAATCTTAATGTTGAGGATCGTGTATTCAAAGGACCTCCTTCTTCATATGATATTGGAACGGTATCTGAAGTTTCAGAAAATTTATATGATACATATTTACTCAAAGTATCCGAATTTCATTGGTTATCAATTTCTAATGGATATCTGGAAGATGAGAAAGTGTATAGCGATTTACCTAAAATAATTGGTACTATTGGATTTCCAGTAATATCAACATTTCTTGACATAATTAAAGCTTTGAAAGATTCTAGACATAAAGATTTTCTTATAAATTTTTCTCCGGCCATTATTCGTACTTATTTGAATGATAATTGTGATAGATGGCAAGATATACCAAAAAAAAAAGTTTTATTATTACTTGAGTATGTATTGAAGGACAAAAAATTTGATGAATTGGAAGGTTTTAAGATGATTCCGCTTGCGGATGGTACTTTTGATACTTTAACGAAACATAGCAATTCTTATGTATATATTGGTCCAAAAGATATTGAAATACACAGGAATAACGAATTCAACATCTTCGAAAATCAGAAATACAAATTTATCGACAAAACGATTGATATAAGATTGTATGAAAGTTTGTACGATTATGTGTCAACTACTGAATGGAATCTAAACATTAAAATCCTGAACGAATCCGCTATTGTCGATATGATTAAATGTTCAT